ACAGACTCAGTGTAAGTAATAGCTAACAGACTCAGTGTAATTAATACTTGGTACTCAGTGTAATTAATACCTGACACTCAGTGTAAGTAATGTCTGACACTCAGTGTAAGTAATACTTGGTACTCAGTATAATTAATACTTGGTACTCAGTGTAATTAATACCTGACACTCAGTGTAAGTAATACCTGACAGGCGCAGTGTAAGTAATACCTGACAGACTCAGTATAAGTAATACCTGACAGACTCGGTGTAAGTAATACCTCACACACTCAGTGTAAGTAATACCTGACAGACTCAGTGTAAGTAAATACCTGACAGACTCGGTGTAAGTAATAACTGACAGACTCAGTGTAAGTAATACCTCACACACTCAGTGTAAGTAATACCTAACAGAATCAGCGTAAGTAATACCTAACAGACTCAGTGTAAGTAATACCTGACAGACTCAGTGTAAGTAATACTTGACATTCAGTGTAAGTAATACCTGACAGACTCAATGTAAGTAATACCTGACAGACTCAGTATACCTGACAGACTTAGTGTAAGTAATACCTGACATTCAGTGGAAGTAATAGCTAACAGAATCAGCATAAGTAATACCTAACAGACTCAGTGTAAGTAATAGCTAACAGACTCAGTGTAAGTAATAGCCAACAGACTCAGTATACCTGACAGACTCAGTGTAAGTAATACCTGACAGACTCAGTATACCTTAATAGCCAACAGACTCAGTATACCTGACAGACTCAGTGTAAGTAATACCTAACAGACTCAGTGTAAGTAATAGCCAACAGACTCAGTGTAAGTAATACTTGACATTCAGTGTAAGTAATACCTGACACTCAGTGTAAGTAATAGCTAACAGAATCAGCATAAGTAATACCTAACAGACTCAGTGTAAGTAATAGCTAACAGACTCAGTGTAAGGAATAGCCAACAGACTCAGTATACCTGACAGGCTCAGTGTAAGTAATACCTGACAGACTCAGTATACCTTACAGACTCAGTGTAAGTAATACCTGACTCTCAGTGTAAGTAATAGCTAACAGAATCAGCGTAAGTAATACCTGACAGACTCAGTGTAAGTAATAGGTAACAGACTCAATGTAAGTAATGTAATAGCCAACAGACTCAGTGAAAGCAATGCCATGTACATTTGTATTACAAAGAAAGAAAAAACCTAAAAGCTTAAATGATTGTCGACTAACTTGAGAATAATCCTTACATCATTTTCCAGGGAACAATGACAAAACTACCTAAGTTTGAGGTAGATTTACCAGCAGTACAGAAGCAGGCTAAGACTCCACTGCTAGAGCGCGATGTCATCATGGCTATTATGTGAGTGGCCTATTTTACATTTGTAGCTGTAATGATTCTAAACATTTGATGGCTATATTTCTTTTATGTTCAACAGAAATTAGTAATCCATTACCGGTAACATTAAGATCCCTCTCTTCAATCCCTTGTCAGGCTAATCCACAAACGTTCTAAAATTAAAAAATTAAAAAAAAACAGGAAATAATCTTTTAGTAACATTCTTAATAAAACCAATATTTTTATCAAAATGTTGATTAAATCTGGCATTGCAAGTTAAAAAGCTTTCAATTGAGATTTTTTTTAAAAAGAAAAATGTTTTTTTCCTGGTTTTGAAATCTTCCCCAGTGACATTCTCTTCCCGTTGTCGTATCTAAGGAAGCGGTGACATTTTAGAATTTACTTGCTTGGTAACGAGTATGGGTCTTGCATTACCCGTCTAATGCACAATCCCTGCTCCCCCACCAAAATAACAAGAGGCCCAATGGGCCTGAATCACTGGCCTGCTATTAATTTTACACTTGTATTCTTAAAAGTGGACTCAAATATAGTTACAGGCAAAATACCAGTGTTTGATACGAAAGAATCTATTAAAAGATTTATACATCTGACCTTGAAAGTTTGAACAAGGACATTAAGTTGAACAGAGACTTTATAGCCTTTCATATCAGCATGTTTCTGGCCAAATAACATTACCCTTGACCTTTAGGTTATTCAGAGGTTGTTTAAAGATTTCAACATATTTGACCTCTGTGACCTTGCAAATGGGTGAAGGTCATTCATTTGAACAAACTTGATAACCCTTCATCCCAGCATGTTACTGGCCAAATATCATCACCCTGGTCCTTTTGGTTATAAAGAAGAAGTCGTTTTCAGTTTTCAACATATTTGACCCCTGTGACCTTGAATATAATTCAAGGTCATTCATTTGAACAAACTTGGTAGCCATTCATCCCAGCATGTTAATGGCAAAATATCAACACCCTAAGCATCTTGGTTATTCAGAAAAAGTTCTTAAAAGGTTTTAACATATTTGACCCTTGTGACCTTGTAAACGGATGAAGGTCATTCATTCAAACAAACTTGGTAGTCCTTTATCCAAGCATGCTACTGGCCAAGTATCATCATCCTAGGCCTTTTGGTTATTGAGAAGAAGTTGGACGACAGACAGACACACAATATTTTGGATACACAATTTTGAGAATGTGTCATAAGTAACAAACAGTTTGACAGTGTTTCAAAGTCGACAGGTGAGTGCGTTTGTTTTTTTATATCATTTGCGAATCAGGGTGTGCAGTGCATTGAATGGCAAGACAATCAGTTGTAGAATGATAATAGGTTTGACAGGTAATGCGCTTTTATACCCAGCGAGACACATACTCATTACCAAGCAAGGGCAAACTAAAAGGTTTATTTGAATTTCAATTAAAGTCTTTTTACCTTGCACTGTCAGCTTTAAGTTACAAGCATAGCTGACTGGAAACTCAGCTGTAAACTTGACTTTAGTCTTTTTTCTTGGAAAGCTTGATTTTTTTGTTAACAAGTGTGGTTGGACTTTATATACACACATGACACTTATAAACATTTTAATACATCTGATCAGTTGTGTCATAGTAAGTTGTAGGTACTTTTTAAGCACATCTGTCCCAAATTAGGCAGAAAGTACTTCTAAATGATTATACTTCAGATTTGAGAAAGTAAAAGTCTGGCTCTCTTGGCCCCTCTTGATTGAAAACACTTGTGTCTTTATGTATAAATTATTACTGTAGATTACCATTTGTATATCAATTTGCACACAATAAGTTTCCTATCAAATAACTTCTAAGCAAAAAAAAAGGGAAAAAAAGAAAATGGAATTGCCTCCCCTCAGTCATAAAATAATGTACCAGTACTATCTTTTATATCCGTACAAGTAGCAAGATTGAAACAATGTGTCAGGGTGGGACTGAAATTAAAAATATTAGATACATCAATATGTTGTAGATACAGGGTATTAGAATGAAATGGACTTTGAACTTTGACATTGAATGTGTTGTATGTGTTGTAAAATTGAGACAAATGAACTATTTGAATTTTGTTGTAGATATGGCCAACTGTACATTGTTATTCTGAGACATCAGCCCCGCCCTGGGTCCATAGGGGCGGAGATTGTACTGTACCAGATCATCAGGTACCTGTCTCAACTCAACATACAGTCTCAATGTCCTGTTTATTACTCAGATTTCTAATACATTTATTTCATTTTATCAAACAATGCATGCATTAACGTACAATTCTTGACCTCAATGTTAATGTATTGTTTATAAAAACTAGGTCTCGCTGGTGGAAAGGGGTCAGTGTTGATAAATTTTGTCATAATCTCATAAAAATTTCTTGAAATTTCAAATTTGTCTTTACTAAGAAAACTTTAGAGTTTCCAACTTAAAATTTAACACTTATTGATGTACAGTTGTGGGACCGCACAACGCACCAAAATAGCGTGCGCACATCGTGCATACACTGTCTGCACATTGTTCACACATGGTGCGCACAACTGTGCGATTTAACAATCGTTCGCTTTGTTGTGCGCTTCTCTCCGCACAAATCTACGATTTGGTAGAATTGGTTGATCAATATTACGGAATGAAAAAAATCTGGAGCCCTCGTATGGAAAAGGAACACTGTATATATAAATTGCTCATCAAATTAATTAGGGTTATGTTTAATTTTACAATGGGTGTTACACAGCATTACAGTCACCGTGAGACTGTCAAGAGTGGGTCTAGCTCCCAGGTAACAGAACAGGTAAATAACATTTTGATGATTGATCAGAGTTTTACCTGGCCTGTGCCTTACAAAGAGAGCTGATATGTGATACCGTATGACAGTTATGAAAACATAACTGGACGTTAGGTATTTGTTATTTGCATTTATTTTGGTCTATATCATCCCTTCACCTGGATTTTCACACCTTGGCGAGTTACGTAAGTGCCTCGGGTGGGTAAAACTACGGTCCAGGTACAGGTACAAAGTGGCTAGGTTTACCTGTATACGTGACCGTGTCAATACATGTATTTGTTATTTTACATGTGTTGATTTGGGTTTTGTAAAAACACTGCAAACATCATTTCTGAATTTAAAAAATATAGTTAGAAAGTTTAGCTTATATAATTATGTAGCTAGAATATAGAAATATACCTAAAAAGCAAGTTTATATGTTTAAACACGAGGCCGTATTTATTGTTAAGCCATTTCTCAATTTACAACAATGGCTATTGTCATTGCACAACGTTCGTTCATCATCCACACAAATGTGTGCAAGCAATAATTGTCCAGATTTCAATCGTTCGCCCATCGTGCATACATCATGCACACTCCGTGCGCACACCACACATCGTGTAACGTTGTGCGTTCCCACAACTGTATTACTAGTGTTTCCATTAAGATAGAAATAATTTTAGGGACCAAACACTTTCAACATTTTATGTGACTGAACACTTTTAGGGATGGTCCAGCAAGAAAAACCAATGTGTTGAAGCTGGACATGAGTGGACGCTTTGCTATCAACATTGTCGACAATCTAATCCTGGTTCATCACCAAGCTTCCAGAGTAAGTGTTATCATTGCAGTAGAAAACTTTTTCTTCTTATCACTGAAGTCATTTAAATCCTATAAAACTATGCTTTCAATGAAAAAAAGTTATCCTGTAAAACAATGCTTTCAATGAGATTTTTTTATCCTGTAAAACAATACTTTCAATGGCATTTTTTATCCTGTTATTAGTACTGTTGGGGGAAATTTAAAGTGTACAGGGTGATTTACAGTTACTTTTACTAATTTGTTTTTCCTTTTTTTTCAGACATCTGTGGTATTTGATATTCTCCTAGAAGGAGAATCGGATGGCTTTGTAACATTCCATTATCCAGTTGTCTCCCCTTTGCCAATTAAACCTTTTACAATGCTACTCCCTTGTAAGTAGTCTAGATTAATTAAAGTTACGGTCATACATTTTTATGTTTTTCACAAATGGCAGGCAGTTTAGGGTGTCACTATCATCCAGTTTAAACAATTATGACTTCATGAAGTCCAGTTTGCCTTCTTAGTCTCGTGAACTGTAACATAGCCTCATATCATGATTATATTCATGGTCTCAGTTTGTCTCATGATTTTATGAAATTGTAAATCAGTTCAAAATGGCTTCCTAGCTTTATGATCTATCATATTAGTATAAGTCACCTGTTAACATTAGATAAACTCATTTTAAATGCTTACATATCAATTTAAATGCGTGATGTTCCATTTTTCAGCACTAAATCTACAAACAGGAGCGAACAAAATGGAGTATTCGTGTGAGTTATGTATCCTTTTATTGATGTGTTATGGAGACTCACAGACAAATCTTGTCAGTTCAGACATACTTAGTCATCACTTCAGACACATGCTGTCATTGATTTCTGAAAAAAAAATCTGCAATAAAATAATTGCTGAATCATGTATCTTGAGTATTAGTACAATGTTGTAAATGTATAATCTTAGTTTGGTACAAATGACTAACAGGTAATTGTTTTATTACTGTGTACAATTGTATATGAAGAAAAGATATTTCTGAGAGTAATGGGAACCTTTCTTTTTGACATTTTGAAATGTTAGAATCCTTGTGTTAACGACCATGCATTTTGTGACATCTGAAAATATTGACTTTCTTAACATCCTTTCAAGATTCACCAAACTGGATTGTCTTTCAGCCCAACATAATAATAGATGCTAAGTTAGGTAAGTGGTTCTACAGATATGGTAATGTTGATAAACTAGGATTAGGACTAGAAAAAATTAAATGTTCAAATTGTAATTGTTTTACTGTAAATGATTACAGTACACGGGTAATTATTTTATTACTGTCAAAAAAATAAAAAATAAAGTGTACAACATTTGATGTAGCGCCCTATCTAGCTAGAATAAGCTACTCTAAAGCGCTTTACACTACATAGATACACAATTCATACAATCAATATAATTACCATATTCATTTATCAATAGAATTTTGAGGAATTCACATGAACTGCCTTATCAGGCGCTAACTATTGTTCACAACACACAGGTATTTTTGTTGTCTTAATTTTTACAAAACACAGGTAAATATATTCTTCTAAAACATTGGTCATATATATAAATAATAATAATAAAGGCTTTATTTATTCTTGATAACATATTGAGCATGAAGCTCATCTTACATATGATCAAGATATAATGTATGATAAAATGTATGATATTTAAGACAAAAATAATCCTTTATCCAACTATGTTTCGATATCATATTATAATTTATAACAATTAAAACTGGGTACTGGCTTCAGGACATCTGTAGTATGTGTTAACATGCTGTATCTGCTGTTTTGTTCTTGTTGCCTGTGGTACATGTAAACATACTGTGTCTGGTGTTTTGTTCAGGCTGTCTGTAAACATGCTGTATCTGGTGTTTTATTCAGGTTGTCTGTGGTACCTGTAAACATGCTGTATATGCTGTTTTGATCAGGTTGTCTGTGGTACCTGTAAACATGCTGTATGTGCTGTTTTGTTCTGGTTGTCTGTGGTACCTGTTAACATGCTGTATCTGCTGTTTTATTCAGGTTGTCTGTGGTACCTGTAAACATGCTGTATATGCTGTTCTGATCAGGTTGTCTGTGGTACCTGTACACATGCTGTATGTGCTGTTTTGTTCTGGTTGTCTGTGGTACCTGTTAACATGCTGTATTTGCTGTTTTATTCAGGTTGTCTGTGGTATGTGAAACTGCTGTCGGGACCTCTTGTGGTGATGATCCCTGACAAGGTACAAATGATTACTGTACTACCTGGACTTATCCACTACTGTATACATTTAATTATAGATAAATTAACAGAAATCCACTACTGTATACATTTAATTATAGATAAATTAACAGAAATCCACTACTGTATACATTTAATTATAGATAAATTAACAGGAATCCACTACTGTATACATTTAATTATAGATAAATTAACAGAAATCCACTACTGTATACATTTAATTATAGATAAATTAACAGAAATCCACTACTGTATACATTTAATTATAGATAAATTAACAGAAATCCACTACTGTATACATTTAATTATAGATAAATTAACAGAAATCCACTACTGTATACATTTAATTATAGATAAATTAACAGAAATCCACTACTGTATACATTTAATTATAGATAAATTAACAGAAATCCACTACTGTATACATTTAATTATAGATAAATTAACAGAAATCCACTACTGTATACATTTAATTATAGATAAATTAACAGAAATCCACTACTGTATACATTTAATTATAGATAAATTAACAGAAATCCACTACTGTATACATTTAATTATAGATAAATTAACAGAAATCCACTACTGTATACATTTAATTATAGATAAATTAACAGAAATCCACTACTGTATACATTTAATTATAGATAAATTAACAGAAATCCACTACTGTATACATTTAATTATAGATAAATTAACAGAAATCCACTACTGTATACATTTAATTATAGATAAATTAACAGAAATCCACTACTGTATACATTTAATTATAGATAAATTAACAGAAATCCACTACTGTATACATTTAATTATAGATAAATTAACAGAAATCCACTACTGTATACATTTAATTATAGATAAATTAACAGAAATCCACTACTGTATACATTTAATTATAGATAAATTAACAGAAATCCACTACTGTATACATTTAATTATAGATAAATTAACAGAAATCCACTACTGTATACATTTAATTATAGATAAATTAACAGAAATCCACTACTGTATACATTTAATTATAGATAAATTAACAGAAATCCACTACTGTATACATTTAATTATAGATAAATTAACAGAAATCCACTACTGTATACATTTAATTATAGATAAATTAACAGAAATCCACTACTGTATACATTTAATTATAGATAAATTAACAGAAATCCACTACTGTATACATTTAATTATAGATAAATTAACAGAAATCCACTACTGTATACATTTAATTATAGATAAATTAACAGAAATCCACTACTGTATACATTTAATTATAGATAAATTAACAGAAATCCACTACTGTATACATTTAATTATAGATAAATTAACAGAAATCCACTACTGTATACATTTAATTATAGATAAATTAACAGAAATCCACTACTGTATACATTTAATTATAGATAAATTAACAGAAATCCACTACTGTATACATTTAATTATAGATAAATTAACAGAAATCCACTACTGTATACATTTAATTATAGATAAATTAACAGAAATCCACTACTGTATACATTTAATTATAGATAAATTAACAGAAATCCACTACTGTATACATTTAATTATAGATAAATTAACAGAAATCCACTACTGTATACATTTAATTATAGATAAATTAACAGAAATCCACTACTGTATACATTTAATTATAGATAAATTAACAGAAATCCACTACTGTATACATTTAATTATAGATAAATTAACAGAAATCCACTACTGTATACATTTAATTATAGATAAATTAACAGAAATCCACTACTGTATACATTTAATTATAGATAAATTAACAGAAATCCACTACTGTATACATTTAATTATAGATAAATTAACAGAAATCCACTACTGTATACATTTAATTATAGATAAATTAACAGAAATCCACTACTGTATACATTTAATTATAGATAAATTAACAGAAATCCACTACTGTATACATTTAATTATAGATAAATTAACAGAAATCCACTACTGTATACATTTAATTATAGATAAATTAACAGAAATCCACTACTGTATACATTTAATTATAGATAAATTAACAGAAATCCACTACTGTATACATTTAATTATAGATAAATTAACAGAAATCCACTACTGTATACATTTAATTATAGATAAATTAACAGAAATCCACTACTGTATACATTTAATTATAGATAAATTAACAGAAATCCACTACTGTATACATTTAATTATAGATAAATTAACAGAAATCCACTACTGTATACATTTAATTATAGATAAATTAACAGAAATCCACTACTGTATACATTTAATTATAGATAAATTAACAGAAATCCACTACTGTATACATTTAATTATAGATAAATTAACAGAAATCCACTACTGTATACATTTAATTATAGATAAATTAACAGAAATCCACTACTGTATACATTTAATTATAGATAAATTAACAGAAATCCACTACTGTATACATTTAATTATAGATAAATTAACAGAAATCCACTACTGTATACATTTAATTATAGATAAATTAACAGAAATCCACTACTGTATACATTTAATTATAGATAAATTAACAGAAATCCACTACTGTATACATTTAATTATAGATAAATTAACAGAAATCCACTACTGTATACATTTAATTATAGATAAATTAACAGAAATCCACTACTGTATACATTTAATTATAGATAAATTAACAGAAATCCACTACTGTATACATTTAATTATAGATAAATTAACAGAAATCCACTACTGTATACATTTAATTATAGATAAATTAACAGAAATCCACTACTGTATACATTTAATTATAGATAAATTAACAGAAATCCACTACTGTATACATTTAATTATAGATAAATTAACAGAAATCCACTACTGTATACATTTAATTATAGATAAATTAACAGAAATCCACTACTGTATACATTTAATTATAGATAAATTAACAGAAATCCACTACTGTATACATTTAATTATAGATAAATTAACAGAAATCCACTACTGTATACATTTAATTATAGATAAATTAACAGAAATCCACTACTGTATACATTTAATTATAGATAAATTAACAGAAATCCACTACTGTATACATTTAATTATAGATAAATTAACAGAAATCCACTACTGTATACATTTAATTATAGATAAATTAACAGAAATCCACTACTGTATACATTTAATTATAGATAAATTAACAGAAATCCACTACTGTATACATTTAATTATAGATAAATTAACAGAAATCCACTACTGTATACATTTAATTATAGATAAATTAACAGAAATCCACTACTGTATACATTTAATTATAGATAAATTAACAGAAATCCACTACTGTATACATTTAATTATAGATAAATTAACAGAAATCCACTACTGTATACATTTAATTATAGATAAATTAACAGAAATCCACTACTGTATACATTTAATTATAGATAAATTAACAGAAATCCACTACTGTATACATTTAATTATAGATAAATTAACAGAAATCCACTACTGTATACATTTAATTATAGATAAATTAACAGAAATCCACTACTGTATACATTTAATTATAGATAAATTAACAGAAATCCACTACTGTATACATTTAATTATAGATAAATTAACAGAAATCCACTACTGTATACATTTAATTATAGATAAATTAACAGAAATCCACTACTGTATACATTTAATTATAGATAAATTAACAGAAATCCACTACTGTATACATTTAATTATAGATAAATTAACAGAAATCCACTACTGTATACATTTAATTATAGATAAATTAACAGAAATCCACTACTGTATACATTTAATTATAGATAAATTAACAGAAATCCACTACTGTATACATTTAATTATAGATAAATTAACAGAAATCCACTACTGTATACATTTAATTATAGATAAATTAACAGAAATCCACTACTGTATACATTTAATTATAGATAAATTAACAGAAATCCACTACTGTATACATTTAATTATAGATAAATTAACAGAAATCCACTACTGTATACATTTAATTATAGATAAATTAACAGAAATCCACTACTGTATACATTTAATTATAGATAAATTAACAGAAATCCACTACTGTATACATTTAATTATAGATAAATTAACAGAAATCCACTACTGTATACATTTAATTATAGATAAATTAACAGAAATCCACTACTGTATACATTTAATTATAGATAAATTAACAGAAATCCACTACTGTATACATTTAATTATAGATAAATTAACAGAAATCCACTACTGTATACATTTAATTATAGATAAATTAACAGAAATCCACTACTGTATACATTTAATTATAGATAAATTAACAGAAATCCACTACTGTATACATTTAATTATAGATAAATTAACAGAAATCCACTACTGTATACATTTAATTATAGATAAATTAACAGAAATCCACTACTGTATACATTTAATTATAGATAAATTAACAGAAATCCACTACTGTATACATTTAATTATAGATAAATTAACAGAAATCCACTACTGTATACATTTAATTATAGATAAATTAACAGAAATCCACTACTGTATACATTTAATTATAGATAAATTAACAGAAATCCACTACTGTATACATTTAATTATAGATAAATTAACAGAAATCCACTACTGTATACATTTAATTATAGATAAATTAACAGAAATCCACTACTGTATACATTTAATTATAGATAAATTAACAGAAATCCACTACTGTATACATTTAATTATAGATAAATTAACAGAAATCCACTACTGTATACATTTAATTATAGATAAATTAACAGAAATCCACTACTGTATACATTTAATTATAGATAAATTAACAGAAATCCACTACTGTATACATTTAATTATAGATAAATTAACAGAAATCCACTACTGTATACATTTAATTATAGATAAATTAACAGAAATCCACTACTGTATACATTTAATTATAGATAAATTAACAGAAATCCACTACTGTATACATTTAATTATAGATAAATTAACAGAAATCCACTACTGTATACATTTAATTATAGATAAATTAACAGAAATCCACTACTGTATACATTTAATTATAGATAAATTAACAGAAATCCACTACTGTATACATTTAATTATAGATAAATTAACAGAAATCCACTACTGTATACATTTAATTATAGATAAATTAACAGAAATCCACTACTGTATACATTTAATTATAGATAAATTAACAGAAATCCACTACTGTATACATTTAATTATAGATAAATTAACAGAAATCCACTACTGTATACATTTAATTATAGATAAATTAACAGAAATCCACTACTGTATACATTTAATTATAGATAAATTAACAGAAATCCACTACTGTATACATTTAATTATAGATAAATTAACAGAAATCCACTACTGTATACATTTAATTATAGATAAATTAACAGAAATCCACTACTGTATACATTTAATTATAGATAAATTAACAGAAATCCACTACTGTATACATTTAATTATAGATAAATTAACAGAAATCCACTACTGTATACATTTAATTATAGATAAATTAACAGAAATCCACTACTGTATACATTTAATTATAGATAAATTAACAGAAATCCACTACTGTATACATTTAATTATAGATAAATTAACAGAAATCCACTACTGTATACATTTAATTATAGATAAATTAACAGAAATCCACTACTGTATACATTTAATTATAGATAAATTAACAGAAATCCACTACTGTATACATTTAATTATAGATAAATTAACAGAAATCCACTACTGTATACATTTAATTATAGATAAATTAACAGAAATCCACTACTGTATACATTTAATTATAGATAAATTAACAGAAATCCACTACTGTATACATTTAATTATAGATAAATTAACAGAAATCCACTACTGTATACATTTAATTATAGATAAATTAACAGAAATCCACTACTGTATACATTTAATTATAGATAAATTAACAGAAATCCACTACTGTATACATTTAATTATAGATAAATTAACAGAAATCCACTACTGTATACATTTAATTATAGATAAATTAACAGAAATCCACTACTGTATACATTTAATTATAGATAAATTAACAGAGGAGCTTCTATTTGATTGGTTTAAATTATGCTTTATTCAAATTGTTGACAATACATTGAAATACAAATTGTATAGAACAGAATAGGAAACAAAAACAAGCTTCTATTTCAACAGGTACATAATTAAGAAATACCTATAAACATTACACTTTCTTTGCTCTTAAGATGAATACACTCAACAAGAAACTACCAATTTGAATTTTAAAAATTTACAATTCTAGACAGCAGCTGTCACATTAATAACCAAATTTCCACTGATCTTATTTCTTTCAATACATCTCAATGCTGGTTGTAGTGTCGACTCATCAAGTTCCTGCTGCAGAGGAATGACAGTAAAGCTGACATCCTGTCTGTGTGTAGGAATATGATGGTGCCAGGTAAACAGGCCAATTTGCGCACCATTGCTTCTGTCCTGGACATGCTGAACAAAGTCTACCACTCACACCTGGAGTCTGAGATCAACCAGTTGGTACGTGTGGCAGACCCAGTTGATCAGTTGTACCAAGTTGGTATACATATTCACTGATTTTAATTCACAGCTCCCAAACGGTACTACATATACATTATAAAATGTACTATATTTAGCATTGGGACTTGTTTATTGTGACTCATCCTTAACAGTTAACAGTATCATTGCCATCTTAATATAATCCTGATTTGGTTGTGATAGAAATGAGGAGAGGTTGAGAAGTAAAAAATTTTTTTAAAAAAAACATGTACTGTATTATACATTCTACCATTGGATAGGCAACCGACACACAAGCTCGACCCTTAGAACCACGACGCCGCCAAGTCATCATAGACCAGTCTGACGCCTACACACACATCTTCTCAATCTTTGAAGATAGAAAGGTAGGACCGGTCACTGTACATCTAAGTAGACTAGACTCTCCATACAGCAATGTAGAATCACTACATTTATGTAGACCAGACTCATTCACTGAACTAGAAATGTAACATATTTATCAATCCGCCTGAAGAAGCCCTAGAAGGCAGAAAGGCCTAGCGGACGATCTAAAAAATTGATATATATATACTCGAAGCTCGTTTATTCATCAAATTACTGCCTCCTACCTTTATTACAGCAACAGATCTGTGTGTGAGTCTCAACAACTCTACAGATGTATATGATTTGCTGTTATAACTGATTTAATGTATCCTTCAGTGAATAATAACTGATTTGTTTGAACAGGATATGAAGTACAAGTTCATTGTTGCTGTCCTGATAGAATACATCCGCTCACTGAACCAGCACAATATACCAGTTCAGGTAACTATATAGACTCACTGAACCAACACAGTATACCAGTTCATGTAATTATATAGACTCACTGAACCAGCACAGTACACCAGTTCAGGTAATTATATAGACTTACTGAACCAGCACAGTACACCAGTGAGAGCTCCTATTTTCTGGAAATTAAATGAATATGTTCCAGCGTAGGCTTGACTGTCATTATCCGATCAAAAGATGTCAACATTGAATCTTTTACCAAGACTGAAGTGTTAAAAGTATCATTTAGTTAGGTTGATATGCAAATCATTTCCAGACACCATACACAAATATCATACAAGAACTATTTATGAATACATAGTACAGCATCACCTGTATGATAATATATACAAATTACAGCATTACCTGTATGATAATATATACAAATTACACCATTACCTGTATGATAATATATACAATTGACAGCATTACCAGTATGATAATATATACAAATGACAGCATTACATGTATGATAATACATACAAATTACAGCATTACCTGTATGATAATATATACAAATTACACCATTACATGTATGATAATATATACAAATTACAGCATTACCTGTATGATAATATATACAAATTACACCATTACCTGTATGATAATATATACAAATTACACCATTACCTGTATGATAATATATACAATTGACAGCATTACCAGTATGATAATATATACAAATGACAGCATTACATGTATGATAATACATACAAATTACAGCATTACCTGTATGATAATATATACAAATTACACCATTACCTGTATGATAATATATACAAATTTCAGCATTACCATGTATGATAATATATGAATTTAACACATTAAAATGTTATTACCTGTATGAAAAGTACAGCATTACCTGTATGAATTTAACACATTACAATGTCATTACCTGTATGAGAATTACAGCATTACCTGTATGATTTGCTTACCTATTACAGCATTACCTGTACGAGCTTATCATCAATACCTTGGTTCACAACAACTGCTGTTACCAGCTTCATCAGTTTCTCCAGTACCATGTGCTCAGTGACTCCAAACCACTGGTCAGTGTTGAATCTAAATTCCATTAAACTAGCAATATTAATGCTTTGTGTTAGTGGTTGTCTTAAGCATTTAACATCGTCTTAGGCACTTCAATCTCTAATAGTTGATTTTGTTTATTAAAAGAAAATTGTACCATCGGCTGAAGAATTCATTTTACTATGGGTGCGACTATAGAATATATATGGATGTCCATTCTACTGACAAAAACTGTTACTATGCATTGAAAGGCTTTTTTCAAATAGCAAAGTTGATATAAATAAAATAGAATCGACAACAGTGTTCTGCGTGTAAAAATGTTATGGGACCAGTCAGACCAAGATTCAAGCTCTGAAACTCTGATCATTGTGCTTCCCTGGTTCACCTACTGGTACATATGTATATGGAGAATGAAGGGGAGTTTACAGGGTTTTCTCCAGTGTTTTGCCTGCAGTGGGACAGATAGCTTTAAGTCATTTACTACAGGTGCATTCCAAATAGATTGCATTCAACAGAATTGATGGTACTCTTTGCCTTAGCACCATTTATTTCTCCTGCTGTGACATTGCTATGGCAGATACATGTAGCTGAAATCGTTATACACACTGTATAACCATCAATCTGGTGAAATCTAATTAGATAATGGCCTCACAATTTTCTTTTAATAAGCTGTCTGAATAATCTGCTTTTAGAACAGGAGAAAGTACCAAAGATTAGATTGTCAAGAATTCCATTATTTTTAATTATTTCTTCATCCTGAGGATCCTTTTATTACTGTCATATATAATAAAGTGTTTTCTGACACACAACATTATTGATATAAATACTTACAGAAAAGTAAGTGTTGTTTTTCCACCTGATATACTTATAGATATATGTATTATGTACTAAACTCATTGTTTTCCTAACTCGTAGGCTTGCCTGATGCTTTCCTTGGAAAGTGTGTACCCACCGGCTCACCAACTGGCTCTTGATATGCTCAAGGTAAGGGCAGACAACTCAGATAAGTTTTGACTTTATATGATTTAGGTGACACATCACATCATTAATTCAAACAATCATAAATGTATTAGTCTAAAGATGATCTGTTGTGAAACTGATAGATTTTAGTCATGACGCTTAACAGTAAAATAAATATATTTATCTTTCTAAGAGAGTTAATATATTTTTTCATAAAATTGATAATTATAAATACTTGTTGTAAAAGGGTATATTTTATTTATGCTTGACCATATGTAAAATGAGTCTTTGACTCAATATGTTATCAAGTGAAAATAGAAAATAAAGACTATTATTATCTGAAAAAAAGGCTTTTATGATACATTTAAATTCTAATTTGTATAGGTACTCAATTTTAGGTTCAGGAACTATCCTATTTTGTCGTAAAATTTAAAGCAGAACAACAGGATGTCATGGTCAGGAAATAGGATGGTAAAATGGGAAATAGACTTGAAAATGGTTCATGATACCACTCTTATTTCAGTTTTCTTCTGACAAGAGATAAAACTTTACTCAGTAGGAAATCCATCCAAAAGTACCAGGCAATGAATGAACAGGAAATAACCAAAAGAATAGGTTTACTCGTGATCAGTTAATTGATGAAGGAGCTCCACATTGTGTATATGTAAAGGGGAAAAGTGTTATAACCTGAATTATGCCCTGAATTATTGCTGCAGATATAATAATGAATCGTTTGATTTTATTGCAGCGTTTATCTACAGCTAATGAAGAAATAATAGAAGTTCTGCTGTCTAAACAACAGCTACTCCCAGCTTTACGGTGAGCACTTTTATTTTGTTATTCTAACCAAGCATTTTTTGTATCACAATTTGAGTCAATTTATGAGAGAGTGCATTTATATATTTAACTGCACAAAATATAACATACCTAATCGCACCTAGCTAAAGTCCCATCTACATCCACAAAAACTAACGAGGTCAATGTGAATGCAGCAATACATGTGTATTAGATTTTCTAGATAACATACAATTTAACCAAGAATATATTTCGAATTAGCAAAAAAAGGTGCAGCATACCTGCTGAAAAAAACACCAGCGAAATTATCGAAAATGTTAACCACTTTTACGGACTTTTTAGATTATCACTGGACAACTGGTCAGTCCATGTAAAACCATACTTACATATAAGTGACCACAGTATATTTATGTGTACACAGTAGGTGATTAATTGATTACAGTTTACTCATACAGAAGTACATACACATTTGATTTCCTTTGAGTGAAGTTACTGGCGGATGAAGACAATCCGGATCAGTGTTTACAAATGGTTTACCTTTATTTCGAGGTTTAACTCTTTAATGATGACACTCAAAATTCTTTGAAGGACACATGGGATTCGGGTGCACAGTGAAATCACAAAATATTGACATGGCAAATTTAAAACACTATACAGTATCACATTTAAATGATGTCAGATTTCATACATCAGCTGATATGTAATGTTAAAGAACATTTTGATTTCAAATACTTTTAAGCATTTCCTAGTCAGTATTTAGATACGTTCATAGTAATACCCCCCGTTATTTACGGTGATATAGGTTATACTGTAATTGGGTTGTCTGTCTATCTTTCATTATTGAAAACTTGAATAATACTTGGTACTCATAACACTTACACTGAAACAATGTCAGTTAAGTGTTACTTTGGTTATTTATGGAGCTATGGGGTTACAGAGCTATAGGGTTATGGAGCTATGGGGTTACAGAGCTATGGAGCTATGGGGTTATAGGGCTGTGTGGTTATGGAGCTATTGGGTTATGGAGCTATAGGGTTATGGAGCTATGGGGTTATGGAGCTATAGGGTTATGGAGCTATGGGATTATGGAGCTATGGGGTTACAGAGCTATGGGGTTATGGAAGCTATGGGGTTATGGAGCTATGGGGTTATGGAGTTATGGAGCTATGGGGTTATGGAGCGATGGGGTTATGGAGTTATGGAGCTATGGAGTTATGGAGCTATGGAGTTATGGAGCTATGGGGTTATGGAGCTATGGGGTTATGTGGTTACAGAGCTATGGGGTTATGGAGCTATGGGGTTATGGAGCTATGGAGTTATGTGGTTATGGGGTTATGGAGCTATGGGTGAATGGAGCTATTGGGTTATGGAGCTATGGGGTTACAGAGCTATGGGGTTATGGAGCTATGGGGTTATGGAGCTATGGGGTTACAGAGCTAAGGGGCTATGGGGTTACAGAGCTATGGGGTTATAGAGCTATGGGGTTATAGAGCTATGGGGTTACAGAGCTATGGGTTTATGGAGCTATGGGGTTATGGAGCTATGAGGTTACAGAGCTAAGGGGCTATGGGGTTATGGAGCTATGGGGTTACGGAGCTATGGGGTTACAGAGCTATGGGGTTATGGAGCTATGGGGTTATAGAGCTATGGGGTTACAGAGCTATGGAGCTATGGGATTATAGGGCTGTGTGGTTATGGAGCTATTGGGTTATGGAGCTATGGAGCTTTGGGGTTACGGAGCTATGGGGTTACAAAGCTATGGAGCTATGGGGTTATGGAGCTATGGGTTTACGGAGCTATGGGGTTACGGAGTTTTGGGGTTATGGAGCTATGGAGCTATGGGGTTACGTTACGGAACTATGGGGTTATAGAGCTATGTGGTTATGGAGCTATTGGGTTATGGAGCTATGGAGCTAATGGGTTATGGAGCTATGGGGTTACGGAGCTATGGAGCTATGGGGTTATAGAGCTATGTGGTTATGGAGCTATTGGGTTATAGAGCTATGGAGCTATGGGGTTATGGAGCTATGGGGTTATTGAGCTATGGGGTTATGGAGCTATGGGGTTACGTTACGGAGCTATGGGGTTACGGAGCTTTGGGGTTAAGGAGTTATGGAGCTATGGGGTTATAGAGCTATGTGGTTATGGAGCTATTGGGTTATAGAGCTATGGAGCTATGGGGTTAGGGAGCTGTGGGGTTACGGAGCTATGGAGCTATGGGGTTATAGAGCTATGGGGTTATGAAGCTATGGGGTTACGGAGCTATGGGGTTACGGAGCTATGGAGCTATGGGGTTACGTTACGGAGCTATGGGGTTACGGAGCTTTGGGGTTAAGGAGCTATGGGGTTATGGAGCTATGGGGTTACGGAGCTATGGACGTATGGACCTATGGGGTTATAGAGCTATGGGGTTATGGACCTATGGGGTTACGGAACTATGGGGTTACGGAGCTATGAGGTTACATAGCTCCATAACCCCATAGCTCCATAACCCCATAGCTCTGTAACCCCATAGCAATAACAAAAGCAACACCTCATTGACATTGTTTTGTCTAATAAAAATGTTTACCTCCTCCCAAAGTGTTGTATCGCTTGTTTTCAAATGTTCTTTTAAAAAACTGTTGTACAGTTCTTGATGCAGGAAAGTGGTAAAAGTCTGCCATCGTGGCCGCGCCAGTTCTTAGTGCAGGACAGTGGTATAAGTCTGCCATTGTGGCCACGTCAGTTCTTGGTGTAGGACAGTGCCATAAGTCTGCCATCATGGCCACGTCAGTCCTTGGTGTAGGACAGTGGTATAAGTCTGACATCGTGGCCACGTCAGTTCTTGGTGTAGGACAGTGGTATCAGTCTGCAATCGTGGCCACGTCAGTTCTTAGTGTAGGACAGTGGTATAAGTCTGCCAATGTAGCCACGTCAGTTCTTGGTGTAGGACAGTGGTATAAGTCTGCCATCGTGGCCACGTCAGTTCTTGTTGTAGGACAATGGTATAAGTCTGACATCGTGGCCACGTCAGGTCTTGGTGTAGGACAGTGGTATCAGTCTGCAATCGTGGCCACGTCAGTTCTTGTTGTAGGATAGTAGTATAAGTCTGGCATTGTGGCCATGTCAGTTCTTGTTGTAGGACAGTGGTATAAGTCTGCAATCGTGGTCACGTCAGTTCTTGTTGTAGGACGGTGGTATCAGTCTGCCATCGTGGCCATGTCAGTTCTTGTTGTAGGACAATGGTATAAGTCTGCCATCGTGGCCACGTCAGTTCTTGTTGTAGGACGGTGGTATCAGTCTGCCATCGTGGCCACGTCAGTTCTTGTTGTAGGATAGTAGTATAAGTCTGGCATTGTGGCCATGTCAGTTCTTGTTGTAGGACAGTGGTATAAGTCTGCCATCGTAGCCAGGTCAGTTCTTGTTGTAGGACAGTGGTATAAGTCTGCCATCGTGGCCACATCAGTTCTTGGTGTAGGACGGTGGTATAAGTCTGACATCGTGGCCACGTCAGTTCTTGGTGTAGGATGGTGGTATAAGTCTGACATCGTGGCCAAGCCAGTTCTTGTTGTAGGACAGTGGCCACGTCAGTTGTTGCTCTGAATTAGGGGCCCATGGGTGCACCTATGTTGAATATAGATATCTTACATTTATTAGATGGATTAGATAGGAGAAAAAAATATTCGAGGTAATTACCCAGTACACATAACAGTACAGAGTGAAACATTCAGGTTATATATAGGTAAGAAATCATTTTGATTCTCTTTCCCAATGAGTTAATAGATAGGTCTCTCCGGTAACATCACAGTAAATCGTATAATATTACACTTCATTTTTGTAACCTTGACATTTGACCTTGACCTTTGTTACCTTGCTTATTATATTCTTAAGTGTGGTTACAAAGCATTGGGTCTTACGGACTTATTGTGAGTATTAGTATTAGACATTGCAATATTTTGTCCATTTACAGGTTTATACGTAGTGTCGGAATCACAGACACAGTCTCAGCTCGGAAATTCCTAGAGGCAGCCAAGTCCACTGAGAATAATATGCTGTTCTATACCGTCTTTAAATTCTTCGAGCAGAGAAACATACGACTCAGAAATCACCCTAAATTCCCCCAAGGTAAAATAAAATTGAAAGTTGATATACATATTAGTTCACTTTTAACCAGTATTGAAAATTATTCATTAAATAAAAGTTGTTATTTTTATACCACAGTGAAAATTAACAAAATATCTTTAAATCTTTAACTAGTGCATATAATAAGCCTTGCTCAGATTTAAATATGAAAATGAAGAAAACAAAATTGAACATTAATAACATATAATTTAACATTTGAACCAATTACATTGTCCTTGACACTTTGACATCATAAAAGTTGGATATCATCCGCCCACAATCAATGGAGAGGGATTTTGACATTTTGATCCTTAAAGCTGAGCTCTTTAACTGATTATTATTTATTTCAAAAATATCTAAAACGTAATGAAGCACACTTGTATAGCAGAATACTTCAATATTTTTGTTTGTGATCATGAAATATAAATGGAAAACCTGTTGATATCATCTCTTGTGTATTATAGATATTGTATAGTTAATATACAGATACAGGAATATAGCAATCACATGTTCTGTTTGCCTGTGAGAACGAATGATCATACAAAGTTCAAACTTGCTGTTTGGGTTGCCCAAATGGATGTGAACAAAGCTATTGTTTTTTGGCGTGGTTTGCCAGAGGTCACCATTGCTTAAACAAAAAAAGTTACTTTGTTTGGTTGGCCAGACTGTCAGAGATCAAGGTCACTGTTGCTAACAATAAATTTTGGCTTCTGTGAGTAATAACTTGAAAACTATTTGTCATACATAGTTCAAACTTGGTGTATGAGTAACCCTAGCATGTGTACTCCACTAGTCATTAATGTTACTTATAAATGGATGATTGTACAAAGTCTGTAGAATGAGTAGCAAATCCTCATAGAATTATTGTAAAGTAGATTGTACAGATTTTTGTTTGAGTATCGTGCCATTCTCGGACACAAGTCAAGGATCAATGATTGGTCAATAGTAAAATAAAATTGTCTTTTTCGGAGGAGTATGCTACATGTACCTATACAATAACCTCCTCAATTTGGTTTTTCGATATATTTGTTGCACAGTTGGGTCAAGACACTTCAGTTGACAAGGTACATTTTAGTTCTTTCAGTTAAGAGATAGTCAGTCTAGCCTTGCTGAGTGTTTACTTTGAATAACACCGTTGTTGATTATTATAAGTCCCCTACCGGTGAAACTGGGGGGACTATAGTTTTCCTCTCCGTCCGTCTGTGTACATACATACGTAACACCAATGTTTGTCAGCACTCTAGCGGCTTCATTCCTTGTTCAAATTTCAGGGTTGTTAGGTAAAGGTCAAGGTCACTGTTACTATTTTTTTTTTAAACTTGTCATTGCTCTAGCGGCTTCATTCCTTGAGGAATTTGAATCAAACTTCGTACAATTAGAAAGGACCATAATATCTTGGACATGTTAGAGTTTCAGGGTTGTAGGGTCAAGGTCAAAGTAACCGTTACAATTTTTAGAAAATCCTTGTCAGCTCTCTAGTGGCTTCATTCCTGGAGGAATTTTGATCAAACTTCACACAATTACAAAGGACCATAATATCTTCGACAAGTTTGAGTTACAGGGTTGTCCGGTCAAGGTCACCATTTCTATTTTTAGAAAATCCTTGTTAGCGCTCTAGCGGCTTCATTCCTTGAGGGATTTTTATCAAACTTCACAAAATATAAAAGGACCATAATACTTGGATAAGTTTGAGTTTCATGGTTGTCTGGTCACGGTCAAGGTCACCGTTTCTATTTTTAGAAAATCCTTGTCAGGACTTTTTTGGCTTCATTCCTTGAGGGATTTTGAGCAATTTTCATACAATTACAAAGAACCATAATATCTCAGACAGGTTCAAGTTTCAGGGTTGTTGGGTCAAGGTTACCGTTAGTATTTTTAGAAAATCCTTGTTAGCGCTCTAGCGGCTTCATTCCTGGAGGGATTTTTATCAAACTTCACAAAATAACAAAGGACCATAATATCTTGGACAACTTTGAGTTTCAGGGTTGTCTAGTCAAGGTCAAGGTCACCGTTTCTATTTTTAGAAAATCCTTGTCAGTGCTCTAGCGGCTTCATTCCTAGAGGGATTTTGTTCAAATCTCACACAATTACAAAGGATCATAATATATCAGACAATTTCGAGTTTCAGGCTTGTAGGGTCAAGGTCACTGTTAGTATTTTTAGAAAATCCTTGTCGGCGCTCTAGCGGCTTCATTCCATTAGGGATTTTGATCAAACTTCACGCAATTGCAAAGGTCCATAATATCTCGGACATATTTGAAATAGCATGTAAATTCAAGTTCAAGGGGCCGTAGCACTGTTAAAAGGGCAATGATAAACTGATTAAACTGGATAAGTAACACGTTATTACGCATTGGTGATGATATTCACGTCTCTTAATCACCCTTTCTGGTAATAAATTTAATAACACAACAGCAACAAAATATAACAATCATTTATTTTAAATAATTCCTCTGTAATAATACTAAAATTACAATTACTTGTATTATTATTACATTAAAATCAATAACAAGCTAATTGTGTACTTTTTATTTTCCCAAATTAACACCAAAGGGCACCATTTTTTTAAATCATTACAATGAAATAGGTAGCGGGGGTCGGGAGGGGACATGCATTACTTTAGCAATACTCAGTATGCTTGTTTTTCTTAAAAGTCCTGCAAGATATGGGTTTCTTTTCAAAAATGATCTATCAAAGCTACTGCCATGATAGAAAAAAACAGTCTTCAATGTCAACTTAGAGTTTTGGTAGAGGTACAGGTATCCTTAGTGGAGATTGTATTACAAATAATACATATATATGTGTATTACTTGTAGTGCTATGTGTGTATAACAGTTAGTACTATGTGTATTACATTTAGTATTATATGTATTAAATTAAGTATTGTGTGTATAACATTTAGTACTATGTGTATTACATTTAGTATAATATGTATAACATTTAGTACTATGTGTATTACATTTAGTATAATATGTATAACATTTAGTACTATGTGTATAACAATTTGTATTGTGTATATTACATTAAGTACTATGTGTATTACATTAAGTTCTATGTGTATAACATTTAGTATAATATGTATTAAATTAAGTATTGTGTGTATTACATTTAGTATAATATGTATAACATTTAGTACTATGTGTATTACATTTAGTACTATGTGTATTACATTTCGTATTGTGTGTATTACATTTAGTATAATATGTATTACATTTAGTATTATGTGTATTTCATTTAGTATAATATGTATTACATTTAGTATTGTTTGTATTACATTTAGTACTATGTGAATTACATTTAGTATTGTGTGTATTACATTTAGTATAATATGTATTACATTTAGTATTATGTGTATTACATTTAGTATTATGTGTATTACATTTAGTATAATATGTATTAATTTTAGTATAATATGTATTACATTTAGTATTATGTGTATTACATTTAGTATGTCTGTATTACATTTAGTATTGTTTGTATTACATTTAGTATAATGTGAATTACATTGAGTATTGTGTGTACTACATTAAGTATAATATATATTACATTTAATATTGTGTGTATTACATTTAGTATAATATGTATTACATTTAGTATTGTTTGTATTACATTTAGTTTAATATGTATTACATTTAGTATTTCGTGTATTACATTTAGCACTTTGCAGTTTAATTAGCCTTTATTACTCACATTCAAGTGTGAATGGTGTAATGTTTAACATGTAAATAACTGAATTGTTTCGAACATAGATTTTTTTTTAACTTACAGGTGAACACTGTGAGCAGTACACGAAATACTTCGAGGGACTATTTGGGACAGATGCTCTTGCACAAATGTTTCAAACGTAGCGTACCATGACAACAAATTGTGACCATTTAAGTGCTGTGATAATTGTATATACATGTACAACATAATCGAGAGGATACTGGTCATCTTCAATTTCAGCCCTGTTACAAGATTGTTCACTTACAAGACTACTTTTTATCCTACTCCAAGGAAATATGTTTGTAGAGATATATCAGGAGTTTATGACAATATACAAGTGATGACTTCCAGTAAATTGATGTCTGACGAGTTATGTTAATTGTGTACGTAGTAAATTGATGTCTGACGAGATAATGTTAATTGTGTACGTAGTAAACTGAACCTATCAACATGACTTTAATTTATAGTCAGCTTTATAAAAATATACTCAAATTACAGATTTTATGTTACAACTAATAAAATCAGATGCATTTATTGATCTCCAACGCTTTCAATACCAGATGATCCATTTTAGTGTAACCCCAGGGGTTGTGACTGCACACATTACTGTGTTTTGTGGACCAGGCTTTGTTATATTGATACCTATTATGGTGTCAGATGTCCCGAGTAAAGAGATGATTATATATATAATATTATATAGGCACCACAATGAAGCTCCCCACTTGACATGATATAAGAGGCTACCTAGTATCACCAATCAGTGTCTCTATAAGTCCTGTTAATATTCATATTACACAATACCAACGGTGGTAATAGCTACTTATCTTAAGGTGGAACATAAATTTTGTTCAAGAACGTGTTCTTTGGTTTCTAAGAGAAAAACATTAAATATCTACAATTTTTACTGGTATTAAGATTTTAGTAACTTTTACAACTTCAATCTTGTAGCCTTGGCAACCATAGCAAAAACAAACAAAAATATCTTAATAGTATCAGGGAAGAATTCAAAACTTTTAAGAAGAAAAAAATGAAAAGTCAGGTAAAAGTTTTGAAGTTTGTTGAAATAGAGTGTCAAAAGAGATCCGAACCATTCTAAGTTCTTTGGCTTGTTGCATGTTTTGAAAGAGGGCTGTCAAAACGAATTACCTTGACCCATTTTCAAGGTCAGATAAACCTTTGATAAAATCTTCTGAATAACTAAAGGCAGAGGTCATGATGTTTGACATGTAGTATGCTTGAGTGGAGGGCTATCCAATTTGTTAAAATTGATAGCCTTAACTCACTTTGAATGTCACAGTTGTCGAATGTGTGGAAACCTTGAAATAACTTATTTCAAATAACTAAAAGTTTAGGTTAATGATATTTGCTTGCAGCATGGTGGAGTCGAGGGCTATCAAATGTGTTAAAAGAAATGACCTTCGTTCACTTTTAATGTTGCTTAAGTAAAATAAGTTAAATCTTCATGAAAGATTTGTAGCCTTTGCATTGTTAGATTGCTTGCTATTAAATTTGATAAGAACTTACTTTGAAGGTTGCTGAAGGGAGATGCGTGAATCACGGGTGAGTGATGCAGGCCCTTGGCCATCTGTTTAACTAACGTCATGGTTGGATGAATCATGACTGGACGGTGTGTTTCTTCCTTTCTCGTGACTGTTCTATTAACATTAAAGTCAGTACAAATAATTAAAGGTAAAAACATTAAAGTCAGTACAAATAATTAAAGGTAAAAGAATTATAATGCAGATCTAGAGAACGACTTAACAATGGTTGAACATATACAAGACTAAGGACACTTCATGGATGTATCATACATGTAACTAGGCATGGTTTTATTGTAGTGGACCAGTACACCTACCTGGTAAATGGTTAACAATATTTGGTTTACTTGTTTAGAAAGTATTTTTTCAAATTGTCTTTGATATGTTCAAAACAGTACTTAAAGAACAACATACATTGATAAATCTATGTAATTGGGATAAATAAATCAGTAATACTGGTATTAGCAGTATTGTAGTTCACTGAGTACCACTTGTGTAAAATACCTGCCAGGTAAAGTGATATGCATGCTATATGGCTCTTTCTTGTTTCTATAGAGCCTTATAAACGTATTTAAAATACTCATTTTATATCCTGATGTTATCAATCTGTTTAAAACGTACAACATATGTCATCACCACCATCGTGCTGAACACAACACATACATTATAACCTTACGTGTGTGTTCAGATTAAAAAAAAGGGTATTGTCCCTCTTGTATAGTGTCGGCCATTACGTCACCAGTGTAGGGTAGGTTTGGTGAAATTAACATTTCAATTCTCTTTCAATTTCACTTGCAACAGATCAAAATAACTTGTGGTGTTTTTTGTATTTTATTAAAGTAAAACGAAATGTTTTACATTTTTTACAATGTTTTCTGTGTGAAATTTGTAAAAATACAGTGCTTACTTATCTTAAATCATACAGCTTTTGTTAAGTTGAATATCAATTTCTACTTTATTTTGTTTATGGCAAGATTGGGACAAGAAGCATGCGACATATATTTCCCGAACATCGTATGTGCAATATTTCATTGTATAATGGCTGTATTGCTATATTAAAACATGCATTGATTTCTCGTCTTTGTTGTTTTGTGGAAAACATATGATCTAATAGAATATACAATCTGTATCATTGATAGTAGTAATTCCCTTGTCTGCTGCACTCACAGCTGCTATACGGTATTGGCAACATAAGCAGTGTGTACCAACGTTACACCCCAAGTCATACCCAACAACAGGTGGCTGCTTACTAGTCACCCCAATGACGGTCAACGGCAAAGTAAGCACTACTGTTTAAGAAGCCGGGACAGAACCATCGTGACTATCCCATTCCACATGCTAAGTGAATGCCGTAGATTTTACACTTATTGTAGATTACCTTACTTTTACAAACGTACCCCAACAATTTTGACCTTTGCTGCTGATAGGACGTTAAACAATACTAAATCAAACACATCTTGCAATTATTTAAAATCTGTGACTTCCAAGCTTTGCAACACGCTACAACAGCTAATTTAAATGACCATATAATAACTCCTTTCATTATGTTCTTGCTACACATCGCCATAAAACTTTGGACCATGTGATAATTTGTAGTAATTTGCGATATAAATATTATCCAGAATGCAAAGCTACGAGAGCCATTCTTAAAGGATCAAGAGACTCCTGTTGTCAAATGGAATGGAATTTCAAGAAACTGAATATCCATTAATGATGAGGTTTGGACCTGCCTTGTTTGTATTGGATTTTGAAACTTCACAAGAATCCTTTTTCAAACATTTTTATATCGATGGTTCTTCTAGTTGCCAAACCAAACAATTATCCAAACTTCTTACTGCCATGATGTGGATTAACGGTATGTTCATTTTGAAGAACCCAAAAGATCTTTTGATCAATCTTGAACTTTCGAACTTTTGACTTTTCGGCTTTTTTCACTCACATATACTAAACTGAAGAAACGCCTTCTTTCTCTTAGTATGAGAGCTTTATTTTCAAAAACAAAAGGCGAACGGTACAATTGTAATATATATATATGTGATTGTAAATGCTTTGTTGCTTTGGAGAACATTTCGTGAAAAGTAAAACAAAGGCCAAGATTAAATTTACCTAGAATGACATTATGAGAATGATTAAGTTCCTGTTTGACAATATGTATATTTTGAGTTCGATGGCAAGATTTTCTAGCAGACTTGACATTCTAAATCTATGGAACAAAATGTGCTCCTCCTCTGACCGTTTTGTTTTCGTATGAGGCTGAAATTATTGATGAGCTTATCAGGACTGGTAACAAAATCCCAGCCAAGTCCTTTAATTTCATATTCAGATATATCAACGATATGCTCTATTTGAATAACAAAAATTCATTGTCGACGTCGATCGTACAGTATATAAAAAACATTGTTTGAAATTGATTTCCCGATCGTGAACTTTCCCTTTCTTGATACTAACGACCTACATTCCGAACTTGCGGATTTCACGTGTAGTTCATTTGATATTCAAAAGCTTGCTCCGAATATCATGACTTCCGTGATAAACGTCGACTACTGACGGACAAACTTACACGGTGTACAACATAAGGTTTCCAAAGACGCAGGTTGATGAAGACTGGATAATGTATATGGTCGCCGTCATGACTCGTCAGGAAACATGTATTCTTCATCATGCTGATCGGTGTGCCCTGCTATTTGGTTGTCATTACCCCTGTCCTTTGTATATGAGGACGTGACATTACTTGTACAATGTACTACGTACATTAAAATAGTCAGGAAGTGTACGCTTATGTAAGAGAGATGTGTCTTTATTTCTAGACGCATTTTGTCGTTAGTAATTGTCCGATACGTAGGAATGATCGGTATTGTTTCTCCAGAAATAGTCACTTCAGTCTATTTGAAGCCCGTTAATACCAGGCTTTTTATCCGTTATTGACCAGTCTATATTTAGACTTAGACCCATTAATCAGTCGTGTCATTTACCGATATTACAATTCGGTTCATTGGTTGATACTAACAAATGTTTTACCTGGACGAGTCCTGGGCCCTACAATATAAGATACTTGATCTGTATTAGTGTAGGCCCGTATTGATTCGACCTCCAGCGTACGGAGGCCGTGGAGTCACGGACACACTTTATTTTCATTGTTAATTGGGAAGCGAGAGAGGTACTAGATTAGAACTAACGTATTACATCGTGTTTCCAATTGATATAAATGTCTCGTGTATTTTTTTCTTTTGCCTTCTCGTACTTCTTTGTTGAAGTTGACTAACGAACAGGCAGCTAGCTGGAAGTGTCCCTTTGTGTACGGAAACAAACACAGAGAGGTATGCGGGAGGTGTTCATGCTGACTCTACTGCATATATGTTTTGGTCTCATTGAGATCGAATTCTCGTATAGGTGTTTGTAATGCAGTGTTCTGCGGTGTGGTTCCCTAGGTCACGTGCGTCCATGCAAAATTTATTTCCCAAATTCGAGTCTAAATAAAGCGATTTTCATTTGACCGTTCCACCGGTTTTGTATGTAGTTTTTCTAATATATAGGGCAATGCGGTAAAGACTGGAGGGCCGTTATATGAGGAAATGAGGTAAGGAATGGAATGGAGGACCGTTATGTGCGGACATGCTGTAAGGAATGGAGGAACGTTATATGAGGTAAGGAATGGAGGACCGTTATATGAGGAAATGCGGTAAGGAATGGAGGAACGTTATATGAGGTAAGGAATGGAGGACCGTTATATGAGGAAATGCGGTAAGGATTGGAGGAGAAGTGAAGTGCTGTTAGGCCCTAACTATTCTCCTCAGAGTAGAACTCGCTGGTTGACCAATACATATGAAATATTGATATAAAAGAGACTATGAAATGTTAAAGACAAATAAAAGGATATTTCATGAACAGCTAAGCTATTTGGCTATCGAAGTGCTCTCTTGGTACTACTGAGCAATCGATCGATTTGAGTGCAAAGGCAAGAGTCTTCAGGTAGTCGAGGGGAGATGTATAAGTCGGAGGGGAGACGTAATAGTAGGAGGGTAGACGTATAAGTCGGAGGGTAGTATAGGGGAGACGTATAAGTCGGAGGGTAGTATATAGGGGAGATGTATAAGTCGGAGGGAGGTAGAGGGGAGACGTGCAAAGGCAAGAGTCTTCAGGTAGTCGAGGGGAGATGTATAAGTCGGAGGGAAGACGGTATCATTCAGAGGGTAGTAGTCGGGAGACGTATAAGTTAGAGTGTAGTAGAGGGGAGACGTGCAAAGGCAAGAGTCTTCAGGTAGTCGAGGGGAGACGGATAAGTCGGAGGGTAGGATAGGAGAGACGTATAAGTCGAAGGAAGACGTATAAGTCAGACGGTAGTAGTAGGGAGCCGTATAAGTCGGAGGGGAGAAGAGGGGAGACGTATCAGTCGGAGGGTAGTATAGGAGAGACGTATACGTCTCCCCTCAACTACCATCCGACTTATACGTCTCGCCTCTACTACCCTCCGAATTATACGTCTCCCCTATACTACACTCCGACTAATACGTCCCCCCCCCGACTTATACGTCTACCCTCTACTACCATCCGAATTATACAGTTGTGGGACCGCACAACGCACCAAAAATGGCGTGCGCACACCGGTCGTACATCGTTCACACACCGTCCGCATATCGTCCACACATGGTGCGCAGAACTGTGCGATTTAGCAATCGTTCGCCCCGTTGTGCGCTTCTCTCCGCACAACTGTGCGATTTGGAATCGTTTGTAGATCAAAATTACGGAATGACAAAAATTCGGAAGGCTTGTATGCGATAATGTACACTGTGTATATATCTGTAATTTCTCATCCCAATAATCAAGATTATACAATTCTGTACACACCTGTGTATCGACGATATCTGTACACACCTGTGTATCGACGATATCTGTACATGTATATCGGTGTTCGTTAAAAATTCCTGTGTATAACCTGTGTATATTGACGTTCTCTGTACACACCACACAAGTGTGTACAGAGAACGTCGATATCCACAGGTGTATACAGAGAACGTCGATGTACACAAGTATGTACAGAGAACGTCAATATACACAGGTGTGTTCAGAAAAGTCTATATACACAGGTGTGTTCAGAGAAGTCGATAAACACAGGGGTGTACAGAAAAGTCGATATACACAGGTATGCTCAAAGAACACCAATATACACAGGTATGCTCAAAGCACACCGATATACGGAGACGTATAAGTCGGAGGGTAGTAGAGGGGAGACGTATAAGTCAGAGGGTAGTAGTAGGGAGACGTATAAGTCGGAGGGTAGTATAGGAGAGACGTATAAGTCGGAGGGTAGTAGAGGGGAGACGTATAAGTCGGAGGGAAGACGGTATAAGTCAGAGGGTAGTAGTAGGGAGACGTATAAGTCGGATGGTAGTAGAGGGGAGACGTATAAGTCGGAGGGTAGTAGAGGGGAGACGTATAAGTTAGAGTGTAGTAGAGGGGAGACGTAAAAGTCGGTGGGTCGTAGAGGGGAAACATTTAAGTCGGAGAGTCTTATAGAGGGGATGTATAAGTCGGAGGGTCGGAGAGGGGAGACGTTTAAGTCGGAGGTTAGTAGAGCGGAGACGTATCGGTCGGAGGGAAGACGTATACGTCGAAGGGGAGACGTATAAGTCGAAGGAAGACGTATAAGTCAGGGGGTAGTAGATGGGAGACGTATAAGTCGGATGGTAGTAGAGGGGAGACGTATAAGTCTGAGGGTCGGAGAGGGGAGACGTTTAAGTCGGAGGGTCGTAGAGGTGAGACGTTTAAGTCGGAGGTTAGTAGAGGGGAACGTTTAAGACGGATGGGAGACGTATTAGTCGGAGGGTCTTAGAGAGGAGACTTTTAAGTCGGAGGGGAGACGTATTAGTCGGAGGGTAGTAGAGGGAAGACGTATAAGTCGGATGGTAGTAGAGGGGAGACGTATAAGTCGGAGGGTCGGAGAGGGGAGACGTTTAAGTCGGAGGTTAGTAGAGCGGAGACGTATCGGTCGGAGGGGAGACGTATAAGTCGAAGGAAGACGTATAAGTCAGGGGTAGTAGATGGGAGACGTGTAAGTCGGATGGTAGTAGAGGG